GCCTGGCTGGCACAAGGGGCGGGCGGCGGCGGGACCGGCCGCCCCCCCGGGCCCGCGGTGACGGCGGCTCGGCCGCGGCCATGGGGTGCCTGCAGAGCGTGGCCTGCAAGGCGCGGGTGCGCCGCGAGCAGATCGTGGTGTCGGACGTGTCGGCCACCATCGAGCCGGCGGCCACGGCCATCGAGGAGAGCTCGCCGGTGGTGCTGCGGTACCGCACGCCCTACTTCCGCGCCTCCGCCCGCGTCCTCATGCCGCCCATCGCCCGGCGGCACACCTGGGTGGTGGGCTGGATCCAGGCCTGCAACCACATGGAGTTCTACAACACCTACAGCGACCTCGGCGTGTGAGCTCCGCGGGCGGGCGCGGGGGCACGGGTCCGGGCGGGCCGGGCTGGGAACGGCGGGGGCTCCTCGGTGCGGGCACCTGCCCTGCTCCGCCCGCAGGCACCGGGAGCTGCACCCCGGCATTGGGAGCCTCATTCCCGGCATCGGGAGCTGCACCCCGGCATCGGGAGCTGCACCCCGGCACCCTGTGCAGCCACAGCCCCAGCACCCTGTGCTGCCCCTCTGCCCCACCTCTGCAGCCACAGGCACACATGGGCATCACCTTCATCCCAGCCCCGCTCCCCGACCCCACAGTTCCTGCTCCTCGGGCCCCACAGCTGGTCCCGCACCGTCCCGCTGGCCCGGAGCTCGCCCTTCCGAGGGCTTTGCGGCCGCTGTCTCCCACCAAGCATCGTTTCTGCTTTGGGACTGGGGCTGGAGCATGGGCAGTGCTGGGGGAGTTGCCCCCTTGGCTTGTGTTAGAAGAGGGAAAGGTTGCGGTGCTGGGCAGAAGTGGCAGCTGGAAAACAGCCTTTCCCAAGGCTGAGCGTGCAGGTGGCTTGTAATCCCTTTGGGGATGCCGAGGGGCAAAGCTGTTGGCTCTCTGTCTGTGTCTTCTGTCTTTGGAAAGGGGTGATGCAGGAGGGGAGATGTCCGGAGGGGTCTGTTCTGCAGCTCACCGGTGGGCTCCTGCTGCTGGAGCAACAGGTCCTTGTCCTGCATCCTTGTATTGCCACAGATTGGTGTGCACGGGGCACTGGAGCACTTGGGGACGTTGGAGTGGAGGTGATCACTTGGAGGGATGGCAGAAGTGTGGCCCCAGCCCCTCTGCTGCGAAGCTGCTCCCGTGTTACTGCCGCACAGGCCTCACCGTAGCCATGGTGTTGGTAGCACGGCCAGCAGCAAAGATTTGGGCTGCATTCCCCTCCCCCCAGCCATATTGCCGGGATTTCATGGTGCCAGTGGCAGGCTTGATTGTGGGGTTCAATTGTTGTACGTGTCTTGGTATTTAAGGTGTAAAAATCACAGACCTCCTGCAGGAGGGGGCTGCTGATGGGCTGGGCCCGTGCCCTGGTCACTGTGCTGCAGCTGGGGGCAGGGAAGGCTGTTCTCCAACACAGGAGCTGATTAAGGAGAGAGTGACCCCAAAGAGACTCAGCAGTGGGTTTTGGCCGAGTCAGTTTAATTGCAGGTTAATTAAAATGGCATTGTGTTGGCAGAGCAAAAGCTCAAGCTGGACGTGCTCAAGGAACCGAAGCTGAATTTGTTCTTCAGGGCTGTCCCTGAGAGTTTGCTGCAGGCAGGCAGAGGGTCCCCGTGCTGCTGGCTTCCCCATCCCTCGCCAGGCACTGTTGCTGCCATTTCCCTGCTCATCTTCCTCTTCTTCTTCACCAGGTCAAGCTGGGAACTGCCCGACCTGCGAGAAGGACGAGTGAAAGCCATCAGCGATTCGGATGGGGTGAGCTACCCCTGGTATGGAAACACCACAGAAACCGTGACCCTGGTGGGGCCCACTAACAAGATCTCCAGGTTCTCAGTGAGCATGAACGACAATTTCTACCCCAGCGTGACGTGGGCCGTGCCCGTGAGCAACAGCAACGTGCCGCTGCTGACCAGGATTAAAAGGGACCAGAGCTTTACCACGTGGCTCGTGGCCATGAACACCACCACCAAGGAGAAGATCATCTTGCAGACTATAAAGTGGAGGATGCGAGTGGACATTGAGGTGGACCCCATGCAGCTGCTGGGGCAGAGGGCACGGCTGGTGGGCAGGACTCAGCAGGAGCAGCCGCGGATCCTCAGCAGGATGGAGCCCATCCCACCCAACGCACTAGTGAAGCCCAACGCCAACGACGCCCAGGTGCTCATGTGGAGACCCAAGCGAGGGCAGCCCATCGTGGTGATACCTCCCAAGTAGGGCGTGCAGGTGAGGACCTGGGTGCCCCCAGCCCGCTGCAGACGAACAGGGCTGCCGAGCCAAAGCAGACCTCTTGGGTTCTCCTGCCTTTGTTGTTGTGGTTGGAAACGTGGCTCCTCCTCGGTCAGAAATAGAGCCTGGCTGGCACAAGGGCACAGAAGAGGGTTTGCTGAGCTGGAGGATTTCCCAGGAAGCAGAATGGAGTACTTGCAGCTGGCACAGAGGCTGTCTGACACAAAGGACTCATCTTTCCTTGCGGGGCAGCGCGAGGAGCTTGAGTGTGGTTGAACCGTGCCCGTGGCAGATGCTGCTTCCCACCCGGCCGGAGGCAGAGGCTGTTCCTGCTGGCAGCGGGGGCTGCTGCGGTCCCTTGTCCCTGCCGTGTCCGTACCTATGCATTTCAGATCCGTGATCCACCCCTGGCCTGCCCGCTGGCACCGGGCGGGAGGGGCGGCAGTGGGGTGGGACCGGGCGGTGCTGCGGCGGGGCAGAGCCCGGTGCTGCCGGTGCCACCGCTCGGGAGGGGTCTTCTGCAGCCCGGGGGGAGCGGGACGCGTTTTGCATGCATCTGGGTGTGTTTGGAGTAGTTGTGAGTGTAGGAGATGCCATAGCTCTTTTCTGTCTTGGAGTGAGGTCTAGGGGCAGGTTAGATGTCCTTTTGTTTTAAGGTGCACTAAGTCTTTGCATTCCTCAGCCTCCCCTCCCGAGTCCCGCTGGCCCTTCTCTTTCGGGAGCAGAAGGGATTCTCAGCCAGGTGGGAAAAGGGGGCAGTGCTGTTCTCCCAGCCCAGGTGCTCTGTGTGTGGTACCCAAACCAGCCCAGAGGTACCCTGGACTTGCTTCGCTTCACCGCAGACCCCGCTCCCTCGCTAGAAGTTGGGTGCTTGCTCATTTTCCACGCAAATGCTGGCTCACGTGGAGGCCTCTTCCCCAGCCACCCATGGCTACTGGCTGGGCCACCAGTGGAGGGGCCAGCACGCTTTGTGGTACCTCCCCAAGCTCTGTGGAGGGCAGGGATGTGAGTGGAGGCTGTTCAGGGCAGGCCTGGGTTTGCCTGGGAAAGAGGAGGTGAATGTGCTGCCTGGGGGCTGCCTCCTGCTGCTGCCGTGCTTGGGAGGGGTCACAGGGGGATTTATTTGCCTTTCTCCTCGCTCTTTGCTGCCTGGATGGCTGGCATTGGCTGGTCCATGGGGCAGCACGGTGCTGTGGGATGCAGCTGGCAGTTCCCAGGATCTCACCCTGGAGTTGCAGCAGAGGCATGAACCATGGCTGTGCTGCTGCTCTGGGTGCTCCATCGTTCCTGGGCAGGTGGTTATGGCTTTTGCTGCTTTCTCTGCTCTGTCCTCCCTGGCACGAGCCCTATAGCTCCTCAGCTCGCAGCCCTGCCTTCTTCACACTGCAGGGAGGTTGTGCTGCCCTGGGGATGCAGGTCATTCCTGCTGGGAAGGTCCAGCCTGGGGAGGAGTGCTGGGTGACACTTCCGTGCACCCCAGGCCCTGCCAGCACAGGGGCTCCCGAGGCATCTTAGACCAAAAATCCCTGTGAAATCCCCGTGCTATTTATTGCCCTCAGTAGTGTTTGCTGCTGATCCAGTTCTTTATTTATTTTCCCTCTGGGAGCGTTTCCTTTGGACGCCTTGGCACAACAATTCCGTGTGCCGGGGCCAGCGCTCCTGCTCCTCCCGCCTGGCCTCGCGCTGGGCTGGGAGCCTGCTGCTTTCCGTGCCTGTGTCGGGTTCTGCAGGGGCTACAGCCTCGCTGGGGGGCAGGTTTGGAGGGACAGAGGGCTTTGAGCTTTGGTTTGCTGTGTTTTCTGCAGCAGAGCTCCCACAGGGAGCTTGCTGGTGTGGGAAGATGTCCTGCTCTTGTGAGACTGTGGTTTTGTCCTGGTGTGGGACCGATGGCAGCTTTTGCCATCGCTGATGTTTTGTTTCTCAAAAAGTGTGTGTGGAGAGGGGTTAGAGACTTGAAATACAATTTTCCTTAAGGACTAGGGGAGGAGGGGTAAGTACCTTTTGGTTTGAAGTAAGGCAGGTGTATACTTTTGACCCAGGGGGACAGAAACATCTCTGGCAGCATCAGAGCTAAAATGCCAGAGGAAGGGGTTCCCCAGTGAACAGGCAGCTCCAAGGTGGGCTTCCTGCTGGGACAGGATGCTGTGTCCAGAGGCTGTGTGAGCCAGCTCCCCAAAACCCACGGGAAATGGCTGCATGCTGTGTCAGCCCAGGGAGCTGCTGTGGCACTGCCATGGCTCCAGTGTCTGGGAGAGTGGGGACACTGCTGCAGGGATGCTGTTGAATTCAGCATTGCCACCTTTTGGGATTTGCTGGCCAGTCTGAGCCTTGGCACGTGGCTGATGCCATGACACTGAGACAGCAGTAGCTGAATTTCTATCCATGAATGTCTGCAACATCCTGGTGCCAGGGTCAGGCTCCATGCCTGGCTGTAGCCATGTGCCTGACGCCCCAGGGCTGCCCCAGCCTGCAGGCAGGTGTTGGCTGAGCCCTGGGGCTGTGCCTGTGTTCACCTCTCCAGGCTTCTGCCAGGCTTCCAGTCCCACTCCTCTGACAGCTGGATTTGATGCACTTGGTTTGGTGCATGGGTTGTCTTTGTGGACATTTCCCCGTTAAAAAAGAAGGGGAAAAAAAAAAAGTTTGCAAAAATTGTTTTCAAAGAAACACGTGCAAACAGCGTTTACAGAAACGTGCAGGCATTGTGCGTGTTGGCAAAGGAGGGTGTTCACACCTGGCTGGAGATGGAGCTCTGGGGCTGTTGGTGCTCAAAGGAAGGAGGGAAGGTGTGGGGAGAGTTCCCATGTACGAGTCTGAGTTTGGCTCGTTCCTTGTGGCTGGATGAGCACTCAGACCCCTGGGCTTCACCCCATGGGATGCTTTCCCTGTGCCCCCCTTCCCAACCAGCACCCCATTTTCTCAGGGAGGGGCAGCCCATGGAAATGCCCACCCTCACACTCCCTGTGCCCTGAGCCTCGGGGTGCCCCTTCCCCTCCTTCCCAGCCTCGGGTCACTTATTTATTTATCTATTTATTTATTTAAGTTATTTATTGGTATTTATTGACAACTGGAAGTCGGGGTGGGGGGGCTCATTTCTGCTGCACAGTGGGGGCAGCTGGGTCTCCCCCATGCCCAGCCCCTTGCGTTCTGGGGTGCTGCTGGGAGCACCTCTGGGGAGGGATGCTTGTGGGTCCCCACACTCCCGTGCCCTTTTTGAGAGGGAGGGGAAGCAAGGGGAACCCCACCGTGCCTGCAGGGAGGGCACCCGCTGCTCACCCCCTCCCTGCAGAAGCTTGGAGTCCCTGTGCTCCCTCCCCTGCCCATCCCTGTTTACTGACCCAGCCTCCTGCTGCTTCTCCCGCTGGATTTGCTGTTGCCAGCTCCTGGAGAGGGCGGGAGGAGCCAGGATGGATGAATGTCACTATGGAGAACAGACCAAACCAGGTATTCTGCTGCCGTGTAGGGAAAATCAGAGAGAGGAAAGCTGGTTTTGCAGAGTGCCTTAAACACAAATGACTTTACCGAGTAGGGGGCTTGGACTTCTGTCTCTGGATGTTATTACCAACTCAAAAAATGTTGCATTTCACTTCTCTGGGATTAAAACTACTCGAGCTGTATTGGAGCCAAACCTTGTGTCCGAGTGTCTCTGGCTGGTTTGTACCTCTGGGGCCATGGCAGCACCGGGGAGCGGGCAGGAATTCATGGAATTTCAATCAGCCCCTACCTGCCTCAGCAGTGGCACCAGTGGCTGTCCCTGCTGGCTTTAAGCCCTTGGGTCTGGTGGCAAGATTTGCTCCACTTTGTCCTGACTTGCAGGTGGCTTCTGTGCTGTCCCAGAGAGGTTGTGCTGGCCCTGCAGTGCCCTTCCCCAGGGGATGCTCTGAGCAGGCTGTTGGCACAAAGGCTGCTGTGGGGCTGTGCCCTCACACCTCAGCAAATTGGGCAAGTTGGTTGGAAAGCCTGGAGCAGGCAGACGTTCCTTTTTCCCTTAGGAAACAAGATCCCAGTGAGGCAGCAGCAAGAAGCCCAGGAGTTCATGCGGCCCAGCCATGGGAACTAGGAAAGCTGCCCAGATTGATAAAGCTGAAAAGCTACTCTGAAAAAAGATGTTTCCCTTTTGAAATTGTAGATTCCCTTTCCCCTTTTTTGCAGAGTGGAAGAGTGAGAACAAGTCAGCCCAGAGACCAACTGTTCCTATCCTCCAGTCAAAATAATACATGGGAATAATATGGAGTTTCATAACGAAGGTTCATTTAAAAGCCATTTGGGGAAATACACCAATATTCACTGCATAGTTCCTGAAGGCAATTAAAAATTAATAAAACTCTTTTTTGGGGGGGGAGGGGTAATAAAAGAGGGCTGTGGGTGCTGCCTGTGGTTTAGTCTGGAGGAGGATTCGGTGCTTTGCTTACCTTGAACATCAAACCCACAGTCCCACTTGCTGGGGGGGTACATTTGTGCCTAAGTTAGCTGATTTCTTGAACAGCTGCTCCTTTTGAGCATTGCTGGCTGTGCTGGGCACTGAGGGATGATGGCAGCCACCCTATGAGCTATTCAGTGAGCAGCTTTCTTCACTATGTTATATTAAAACATTGCTCATGTCTTGACAAATCCCTGAGGTGGAGGTGTGGGAGAGCAGGCAGGAGTCTGCACGGCTCCTGTCGTGCCTGCTCATGCCCCAGAGCAGGGGAGGACCCTCTGCCCTGCGGCCAAGGCCAGGCTGAGGCACATTCTTCCTCCCCAGCAGGGACAGCACAACTCTCTTGTCTGAGACCATGTGCCCTGGGACAAGCTGTCTTTCCAAAAGGCCTTCCTTAGCAAGAACAAGGCCAGTCTGTGCTGCTGCCACCCCGCTCCAGAGCCTGGGCACAAATCCCAGCTGCGTGCCCACAGGGAACACAGCAAATGCTGCAGGGTGCCGTGGGGGCAGCAGACACACACAAGGGACACTGCAGGTAGTACTGAAGGTCAGTTTATTTGCTTGATTCCCTCTTCCACAAAACCTGGAAACCATCACCTTCCAGCAAGAGACAAGAAAGCAGTTAAGAGGTGAGAGATTTGGCTCTGCAGCTCCTCCCCTACTCGCGGGACCAAAGGTTAGATGGCTGCTCTGAAAGGCACGCAGCAGCTTGGAACCCCAGAGCCCCCTGTCCCATCAGGACACCCCTTCTCATGGCTGGCACCAAACGGAGGGACACCACAGCAGGAGCCCCGCAGTCCCCACGGGTGTGCTCGTGTCCTGGCAGGGCTGGTCCGAGGCACGAAAACACCCAGGGCTTGGTTCTGAGGGGATGGGCTGGAGGGACAGGAGGGCTGCTTCAGTGCTGCCGTGCGCTGATGGGACGAGGCCGTGGTGGTGCGGTGTCAGAGGGTGGGAGCTGGGCTCGGGAAGGCTCCGGCATCCCAGCAGGATGGACAGACAGACAGACGCCTCACTCTGGCTGCGGGGTGTAGCGCAGGTACTTCTTGCCCGACGGCAGCTCCTTGGTGAAGACTCCTTTGGGGAAGAGCTTCTTGGCTTCCTCGTCAGGTAAGGTGGGCACGACCATGACGCTGTCACCGGGCTGGGGAGCAGATGGGGACAAATGGGGACTGTGAGGAGCTGGCAGGGCTGGACACGGGTGGCACTACCTCCCTGCGAGTGCCCAGCCCTTGTGCCCCAGGCACGTCCTGTACCTGGAGCCAGCAGTGAGGGCAGAGTGGGAGCTACACCGGGAGCCACGGGAGATGTCCAAAGGAAGAGCTGTGCCATCTGCCAGCCCTGCCAATGGGACAGGGAGCCAGCTCCACAGCCATGGGAGCAGGGAGTAAGGAGGGGGGAGGTTGAGCCTCTCTGCGATGCACAGAGCACAGCTTGCCCATGTCTGTTCATCCATTCCTATAGTTCAGGCACCCCTGGACAGGTGGTGCTGGCTCCCTCTTGATTCCAAGCCCTGGGGAAAGAACTGCTTTCCTGGGAGGTGGGTGAGCTGGCCCAGCCCACTGCGAGCTTATGCTGCAGGAAACAGGAGCCTTCTGAGGCAGGGCTGCCTCCAGCTGCTGCTTCCCCCAGCCTGGGGATGCCCCTCCAAGGGAGGCTGGCTGCCATTTCAATGCCTGTTCCCAGTGCCTGGCTGTGAGCTTTGCCCTGCTCCTCACCTTCCAGTCCACAGGGGTAGCGACCTTCTTGTATGCTGTGAGCTGCAGGGAGTCCACCACTCTCAGGATCTCATCAAAGTTCCTCCCGGTGGTGGCTGGATACAGGATAGAGAGTTTCAGCTTCTTATCCGGGCCAAAAACGAACACCTGAGCACAAGGAGACAGTGTCAGGGGCTGGGCACACTTGTCTGACTGCCCTGCTGGATCTGCTCAGCCCTGATGCTCCTTCCTTTCCCGGGAGCTGCCTGACCACAGGTGTTGGGACAGGGGAGATGCCATGGAGGGGATTTAGAGAACAACTGATGCCCAGGGAATGAGCTTTTGCTCTGGGAGCTCCTGTGTCCAATGCCAATGTTTTGCTACCTGTGCCCTTCTAGTGTAAGCACATGAGGGGAAAAGGAAAGTCCGGCAGATCAAGCACTGACAAACATTAGTTTGGGACAGGCACAATCAGGATCGGTGGGTCACCGTGACAGAATCCATGGTTCCAGCCATCCCAGCTCCTGAGGATGGCCATGCCCATCCAGGTGAGCTGCCCCAAAGCCACAGGGCAGGCTGGCAGGCCGTGGTTCTGTGCTGTGGGGACAGGCACTCACCACACGAGCGGTCAGCGGCATCCCGTCCTTGTCCAGCTCGTCCGGGTCCAGCATGCCCAGCTTGACAGCCAGCTCCCGGTTCTTGTCAGCAATGATGGGGAAGGGCAGCTTCTCTGCAGGCTGTTCCCCGTTGTAGGCATTGATGTCCTGCAGGGACAAAGCCAAGGGACGTTCCTGTGGCACCAGCAGAGACAGAGGCCAGGCAGAACCAGGAGCTCCCCACCTGCTTGGCCCCAAGGCCTCAGGCTGGGACAGCACAGCCAGGGCTCATGGCCTTCCAGGAAGCTTCCAGAAACCAGAAACCTTTGTGCCAGGCTGGGCTGTGCCTTGCTCTTGAGGTCAGTTCTTAGGCTGTCTGTGCTCACAGCCCGTGCAGCAGCTGCTTTGCCCAGGCAGTGCGTATGGAGCAACAGGGAATTCCTGCCCGTGCTAGCGACACAGAGAGTTTGAACCACCTTCCACTGAGAACTGTGCCCCTCTTCCAGCTCTCTCCCAGCTCTGCTGACAGGTGTCACAGCTGAACTGGACTGTGCTCCTAAGGAGTTGTTTCTCTAGTGGCAGAGCAACCAGCTGACAAAGAAAGATCTGACACTCCACAGGTCTCATTCAAGGGTCCAGTTCCATCCAGTGACTCACTCGCAGCTTACTTAACTAAAGGCTCTCAAAAAACTACAGTGGAAGCCTGAGTGCAGGTGCTGGGACACTGCTCACTCCTTTTTGAACCATGCCTGGGACAGAAGAGAAAACCATCCCCCTCCACAGCCCTGGAGGCTCTGCCTTGTGACCACGGTTTATGAGGCTGTACTAGTCCAAACTGGACCTGCCTCACAAATACACAGAAAAAATGTATTTTGAGCATCTCCAAACTTGGTCTGGACTCGACTAGAGCATTTAAGTTGTCCCTGGGGTCTGCAGCACCACCCTCACAGGCCACAGGGAGCTGTGCTGGGAGGAGCCTGCTGAAGGCAGCACAGGCAGGGCAGCTGCCAGCATCAAAGCAAGCAGAATTCAAGGCTCCTGTCTTGAATTCTGCCAGAACAGGGCAGCCTGTTCCTTCCACCCTTTGCATGCTACAAGGAGACAAAAGTGACTGCAATACTGCTGCGAGCCTCCCTCACACTGCTGTGCTGCACTATCAGCTCAGCTGATGACCTCAGTGTAAAACCTCTCTGCCTTCTCCAGGCTCTGAATGTGGGGGAGCCCTGCTCAGAGGGAACCCAGGGAGGGCAGGGTTGGAAATGCTGCCCCTTGGCACTGCTCAATAGCACCAAGAGCAGGCAGGCCCTGCACCCCTCCTCAGCCCCCCATGGCTGCTGGTGCTGACAAAAGGGGCTGTAGCCCTGCCCCAGCTGCTCAGGATGCTGCAAGCAGGTCAAGTGGTGCACACGTGGCCAAATGTTTCCTTTCCAGCTTTGCTCTTTGCTTGTTTTCTCCCCAGGCTTTTCTGTGTCACCACGGCTCTGCAGAAAGAGGCCACTGATCTTGGCTGGGTTGTGGCCAGGCCTGCCTTGGAAGGAAGCAGGGAATTGGTTCTGCTGTCCTGCAAACCTGCCTTGGCAGAGCAGAGCAGGGAAGGAAAGCAGAGCTGGAGGGCTCAGCTGAGAAGAAATGCAGCTGAATGCTCCACAGAGTCACAGGAGGCTGCAGATGGACATCAGCAAACGAGAGCCACCCCTCACCTCTCTTTAGAGCAGGGCTGGAGGATGAGGAGAGTTTCTGAGAAGTGTTATCTGAATCCTATGGACTGTGACTCGTTCCAAAAGGCACGCAATTTCCTGGCCTGGGGAGCTGTAGAAAACAGCCTCACAAACCATTCTCTGTGTTGCAATAAAACACCCACTACTCCCTTCCCGAGTCACTGATTTCCCTTCCAGAGTCCAAGCTGAAACCAGAC